TCAACTAACTTCCATCTAAGTCTATAAGAAAAATGTATATTCTAATAAATATAGTCAATCATTAGTAAATATTCTTATTTTGTTTACCCTAATTCCCCCATTCAAGTTTTATCAAGAAAGTGGAGGGTTATCAATCCTCAATCTTTCCACCTAGATGTATAGAAGGACTTTCTTTTTGTACCCATATTTAGTGTGGTTAAGATTAATTTAGTACAAGGTCTTTGGCATGTAATAACCAATTCTATAGTACCTTGTCTGCTTCACAGTGGATCTTACCTTTTAGCTTATAGCCAACTTTATTTTTACAACTGTGGAATTAGAAAGAGTGGCTTATTACTCATAACAAATTTTAGGCAAACTTGATCAACACTACGGACTAATTTGAACAAAGTGTGGAGACCATTCTGTAAAATTGCCCTATGGAATCAACATAAGAGTCAAATTATCTAATATATGATAATCTATTCTAAATCAATTTGCTCATGGAATGACATTAGGTAGCTTTTCAAACATATGATAGCTAATTCATGGAAGACTTTCCTTTAGATATAGAAAAAAAATTGTTTTTCAAGGCAAATTTCTCTCTAGCCTCTTCACCAATAGGCTCTAATGGTCAATAGAAGTCTCTACTCATGCTTGTATGACAAATTTTTTAACTTTAATTAATTCACCCAGGTGTATTAGGTGTAAAATAGGTCAAATGATTAAAACAGTTTAAACAGTAAAAATGGTTCATGATAACTATTTTTAAATTTTCAACTTGTGAGTCTTATTTAAGTTTCATAAACTCTTACAATATGTGTAGGAGACTTAAACTTAGGAAAAGTCTACTCTTAAATTGTATTTGAGTACTTTTTCAAGCTAAAGAACTTTGGATCAAAGCCTTAAAACATCACAATATTCTAATTATGATTATACTTCTATAAAAGCTTTATAAGATTTAAGTAAATAATTCTCCAATTTATTTTTCACTAAAGCTAGCTCTAGCTCTAGCTCTCTTTAAGTTAAAGTTGAAGACAAGAGTTATAAATGCCCAATTGTTTTGCTTGTGTATGTCTAAAAAAATTGTAACACACTGCTAAAAAATGTGTCCTTTAAAAACCCAAGTGAGAACTTGCTTAGAAGAAAAGAATTTTAAAGTAGTTAATTATGTTTTCCACATTAAACAAACTTTATTTTTTCTTCTTTTGGATTTTTCTCAAGAAATTGCTAGTGAAACAATTTGAACTTGAGTTTTTGGTAATGTATGCCAAACTCCAATTTTAAGCTCGTCCCATGCTCTATAACTTTTGTGATAGTTGAAAAACTATTTTTCTTATGTTGTATAGGCATTAAACTATTGCAACCGCAAAAAAAGCTCATTTTTTTAGTGTTGTCTGGACTTAAGGCTTTTGCAATCATTGAGCTCATCATCAAATCTCAAAGGTATGAGTAAAGATAAACATATGTTACTCTCTCAACTCTACTTTGCACAAATAGTCATAAGTAAGAAAAAAAATGGTTAATTCAATACAAATGTATACAATAGTGAGTGGGGGTTATTTTTTAGCATATCTAAGTATTACTCATATACTACATGATTTTATAATCCTTCCTAACTATTTCACACTTATCTATAATAAATATAGCTTAAGTTAGACTTTTCTTCTTTAGATGCTTAAGTTTAAACATAACTCCATTTTGCTTAAGCTTTCTTCTTTTGTTTTGCTTGGGACGATACACAAGATAAAACATTTACCTCTTCATCAACATAAATACATGAATTTTCCAATTGAATTTTAGAAATACATCATCTTTCTCTCCCCTTCACTACACAAGAATTATTTCTTTAAGTGTAGTGTTTTATATTCCACTATAAGAAGAAATTTTCTAAGGAGGAGAAAATTAAATTTTATATTCCATGTTTTTATGGTTGATATAACACCTAAAATAGAGGGAACTTAGTGTCTTTCCCTTATGAATTTCTTCTAGAGCTAAAACTTAGCAAAACTAATAAATAAAATAATGTCATGTGACTAAATTGTCACATCATCCCTTACTATAATATTGCTTTTGTATGAGTAGAGTTCTTGAAGTGCTTTAAAGGGAATTTTTAGAGTGATTTAGAGAGGAAGTTTATAAGAAATTAAGAATTTTTCACTCTCACACCTCATTCACAATCTTAATTTTTTAGTTCATCAATAGCTCAAACTCAAGTAAGTATGTAATTATATAGTTCTAGAGTTTTGTTTTTTTAATAATTATAGAGAAGAGTTCTTCTTTTTGGTGCTAGCATAGGATGTATAATAAATGCAACCTTGATCTAAAAACATACCCTTTTCACTTTTGTTTATCAAATTTTTATAATAGCTTTTAGCCCAATTAATTAGTAGCATTCAATTTAATGATTGGATTTATTCCAAACATTCTTACAATGCAAGCTAACTTCAATTCCTTGAGCTAATTTTTTTTTATTGTTTTCCTACTTCATTTTAAATACAATTTGCAACAAGGATTTAGAGAGGGGGAATTGAAATTTCCTTTTTCATAGCTTTATTATCAATGTTGACTATCTTAATAGAGTAATAAATCTTTCATTGTTGGCTGTCTTGATAAAGTTATAAAAATTTCAAAAGTATAATAAATATAATTTTTATTTATCTAAACTTATTTTCTTTAAATAAATTAACTTTGAATAACAAATGGCAAGGAAAATGGTTTACTAATGAGAACATAATTCTAATATATAAAGTGAATGGAAAGGGAGAAGGATCTAGAAGGTAATGGTCATAAAAAAATTATGAAAGAACAAAAAAAATGGCAATGCACCTTTACGATCTTATATTTATAAGGATTTCATTGCATATTAAATCAATGTGAGTTGCAATGAGATGAACTTGTGAAGAAGTGAAAATAGATTAATAATTATGAGAGTAATATCCCATTAGGGAAACTATTCTACTTTAGCAATGAGTTTATTGTAGAGACAAAGAAGGATGCAAAGCTTTTCTTAAGCATTTGATGAATGTCTCTACAATAAAATGTCATTCTAGATGATATGATTGAAAATTAATATTCTAGATAACAATTAAATTGAGGTTCTATAATTACAAATGAGTCACTAAGTTATATGTCTTTTTATAATTAACTTTTGTTTCTTTTTTTGTTCCAAAGATAAACATAGTTGTAAATCTAGATCTAAATTTTGTACTTGAAATATAGGATCTTAGCCTTCTTGAAATTGGAATGATCCTCCCTCTCTATAAAGAATAGCTCTACCAAAGTCAAGTATTTTATTACAATCCTTATAGCATAAGTGATGATTGTTAAGGAAGAATTACCAAGGGTAAATTAAAATGGCACCCTAATCCATTAACATGGACAAAAATAAAAATTAATGTTTATGTGGTATGTTAAAGGATGTAACTATTACAAGGAGCAAAGGTAGAGGCGGGAGGGAGGAGCAAGGAAAAATTTCTAGGTGGGTAGAGCATAGAATTCCACTTTATGAGTTTACTACCATATGATGTGATAAACATATGGTGTGTGATGCAATATCAACTTGGTAAAATGTGATTTTGTTATTGTGTCTATCACAGATCAAGGCAATATGTCAATTTTCCTAAGTGATATTTTAAATCTTAAGTAAAACTAAAACCTGATTTTAGAATTTGTTTTGTGATTGTGATGATCAAGTCATCTATATATACTTTATTACCACAATATAATGGATTTTGGTGCATACCATTTTATACCATGTTATATCAGCTTTTGCTTGGGTTTATTAATGTACCATTTGTATGAGCTTTTTCTTAGACTTCTGAGTGAGGCACATTAGGGTACATTTGAGTTGGCAAGATTAATATTAGTTATCATGAGTTATTACTATGTTATTGTTGGATTTACTTTTTTTGAGATTGACAAGAGAAGGGGAATGCATAGGAGGTCCAAAGAAATAACAACAAATATCTTACAAAAGCTGGAGCCACAGCTTCTCAACAAGCAACCAACCTTAGGCTATAAATAACTTGAGGGGGAGTTAAAATTGGTAGGCATGGTTATTTAAAGGCCTGTATATGTTACATTTTCCCCTTACTCATGGATGAGCATTGCATAAGGCAATTTACCTTACATTGCAAGCTCTAAGTGTCAAAGTTGCTGTCAATGCTTGTGTTGATGTGGTGACTAAAATTGTTTTATGCTCAGCATAAGTTTTTTGGCTCTAGAACACTAGGGCAAGGGCTTCAGTAAGAGAATGCATTTCTCCACCTAACTTAAATATTTCAAGATGGCTACTAGTGATCCTTGCTTGATTTCAATGGAGGCATGGGTGGGCCTCAGTAAAAGAATTGCATTTCTCCACCTAACTTGAATATTTCTAGATGGTTATGATCCTTGCTTGATTTCAATGGAGGTGTGGGTGGGTCAGTGCAATGATATGTCCATGTTGACTTTGGAGAGATCAAAGAATTAAATTAGTGCAAAGGTGCACCTCAAAAGACAAGAACGGATGCATAGAAATACTGTTCAATCCATTCTTGGCAGACGCTAGTGTTAATACTTAGCTGTAATGTGGAAAGTCCACTCAAAGGTGAGATTTATAACAGTGAATTTGGGTGTGAGAGGAGGAGAGAAGAGGGCCAATTGTGGGGGATTTCACTTTCTCAACCGCCCAGCATTTGTTGGGCAATTTCTAGTGTCATAGGGTTCAACTATCTAATAGTAATCCTCCTCACTCAACGCTTGGAGTTCACATTCTCCCCCGAAACCCATGGCATGGCATCCCTTAACCTTCTAACTTGCAGCTCACTAGATTCCTTTGGCTGCCTCCCAAATCCGAGTCTATAAACGAGCAAGTAGATCTCAAATTTCTGAACCATGGAAAAAAGCATCAGCATGGTGGCAAGAAGTACTCATTACGCGCATATTCTAAAGTCGTTAGATCGGACGGTCCCTATAGTGACACGTGACAAACTAGTGTAAGAGCGGATTTTCTTAGGGTTCTTCCATGCTCGATCGATTTCTTCCAATGCTGGTGGCTGTTCTCACGTGAAATTTTGGCCGAGAGTCGTCTCGCGATGTGGCGCCAGTCGGTCAATCGATTCTCCTGTGCGCTCTTGCTCTTGACCTTGATCGATGGGCGTTTACTTGCGATCTTGTGATACAGGAGAAAGCGAAGATGTGGAGGCCGCAGGAGGACCAACAGGAGGAGCGGCTGTTCCTCCGCTTTCCATGGTGGAGCTCGCATTTCCATCCCCGATATTATACCGGTAAGCGCTTTTCTTCCATTGCTATCATGATGCTGCGGGCCCGATCACCGCAAGGGAAATTCTTGCTTCTTTGCCCTTCGGATGTTTTGCCCGTGCGATTCTCTCGCGGATTTGATCGATCGATCTCAGTCCGACGCGAAGGATTCTTTTCACCAGTTTGTGATCTGTGAGGAATTTCTTTTTTATATCGAAGTGCTTTCCTTTTGTGTGTGTGTGTGTGTGTGTTCTATCGACGGATTTAATCTCGTTCTTTCTTTTCATCGATCTTAGTCTGAAAGGATTCTTTTTACTGATTTGTGAGAGTCCTGCGAGGATATTTTTTTTGTTTCTGGCGCTTGCCTTGTGTGTGTTCTATCGACTCTGTTCAAGGATCTAATCTTTCGCTCGTTCCAGGCACTCGAGCTTGGTGTGATGGCCGCCAAAGTCAATAGCATGCCGGATGTTGCTGTTCGTCCGCTAGGCTCCGGTCCTCCTCCATACAACTCTTTCGGCGGCCCTCCTCCTCACCATGTCACAGACCATGATCGAGGCAGCTCCTACATGCTCGAAGGCGCTGTTGGTGTCTCACTCATGCATCACGAGCCTCCGCCAAAACCAGATGGCTTCTACAAGACGTGGATCTTCGGCAAAGTTTTGGATCCCAGGAGCAAGACCATCATCGCCTGGAACCGGGTCTTCCTCCTCTCCAGGTTCTGGGCTCTGGCTATCGAGCCGCTGTTTCTCTACACGGTGGCCATCAGTCCACACCGCTACTGCTTCTACATTGACGGCTGGTTTGGTATCTTCGTGACGCTCTTCCGCTGCGTGAGCGACTTGATGCATCTCTGGCATATATGGCTCCAGCTCAAGCTTGCTTATGTCGCTCGGAAGTCCCTCGTACTTGGAAGTGGAAAGCTCGTCTGGGACGCGAGGATGGTTGCTTTGCACTACCTTCGTCCGTCCGGCGGCTTCGTTTTCGATCTCTTCGTGGTTTTCCCTATCTTACAGGCAAGCTTTTCAGTTTTTCCTCGACACAAATGGTTTGACTTGCGTTTTTCTTGCAGATAGTTATATGGGGAGTCGTTCCAGAGATGATCAGGAGAGGAGGTAAAATGAGTGGGATGATGACAAGCATTCTAGTGGCATTCGCGATCCAGTTCGTCTACAAAGTGTTTCACTTGATCACTCTAGTGCCGCGGATGCAAAGAGTTACTGGATACGTTTTTGGGACCGCCTGGTGGGGCTTCGCTCTTAACTTGACAGCATACTTCGTGGCGGCTCACGTAAGATGGCAGTAACTCTCTTCGATGTTCTTGCTCACGTTCTTGGCTTTGCAGGCCGCAGGAGCTTGTTGGTATCTCCTTGCTTTGCAGAGGATTTCTTCGTGCTTGTATGACCAGTGCAAGATGAAAGCTGGTTGCAATGCCCGGGATTTGGGGTCCTCGCATGCCATCTTATACGGTCCACGGTTCTCTGATCCTTCGCCGCTTACATCTGCGAAGCTATATGCAGATGTTGCTCCCACTTGTTTGGAGAACAAGGGTGATGTTTTCAAGTACGGGATTTTTATAACCGCCTTGCCGCTGACTACCTCCAGGAACTTCTTAAACCGCATTCTTTATCCTATCTTCTGGGGGTTGATGACTTTGAGGTACACAGTTTTGATGGGAAACTTGCTAACTCTTACATTTTTCTTGTTTTCAAATCCAGCTCTTTTGGCAATGCTATGGTTCCAAGCAATCAAATGCTGGAGGTCATTTTCAGCATTCTAGTCATTACGTGTGGGCTCATGCTGTTCACACTATTGATAGGAAACATACAAGTAAGTCACTTCATGCATTCTGTGAGGAAACTTATTCAGTAGGACCCTTTGACTTCGACAGGTTTTCTTGCACTCGATGACGGCTAAGAAAGAGGAAATGCGGCTGAAAATCAGAGACCTCGAGGTTTGGATGAAACGCAGGCAGCTGCCATCTCGGCTGAGGCACCGTGTTCGTCAATACGAGCGCCAGAAATGGGCCGCTTTACGTGGAGTTGACGAGCACGCCATGGTTCGCGAGCTACCCGAGGGCGTCCGGCGGGATGTCAAGCGCCACCTTTGCCTGGACCTCGTACGTCAGGTCCCTCTCTTCTACCAAATGGACGAGATCGTGCTCGACACCATCTGCGACCGCGTCAAGCCCCTCATGTTCATCAAAGGCGAGACGGTAAGCATCGAACCTCGGAACCATCCCAAAGTGTGTTTTTCATGCACAGTGGTGTCATTCCATGTAGATCTCGCGAACCGGAGACCCAGTGCAGCGGATGCTATTCATTGTCCGGGGGAGGCTGCAAAGCATCCACAACCTGAGCGAGAACAAGACGAGTATCTTCACCATGGAGCCCGGGAGCTTTTGCGGGGACGAGCTTCTGTCGTGGTGCCTCAGGAGGCCATTCGTCGACCGGCTTCCCCCGTCCATTGCGACGCTGAGGTGCTTGGACTCGGTGGAAGCCTTCGGATTCGAAGCTCGCGACCTCAAGTACGTGACAGACCACTTCCGGACCGAGTTTGCGAACGAGAAGCTCAAGCGGACCGCGAGATACTACTCGTCCGGATGGAGGACTTGGGCCGCGGTTACCATTCAGCTGGCTTGGAGGCGTTTCAAGGCGGCCAGGGTCTCAGTAGCGGAGCCAGCGAGAACATCGAGAGACCGTGGTGGTGCTGGACTGGAACGGAGGCTCAGCATCGCTGCCTCGGACTCGGACAAGCTTCGCATGTACACTGCGATGTTCTTGTCTCCAAAGCCGCAGGATCATCTCTAAAACATTCAAGAAAAAAGGTACTTAGCTTCATTTGATAGTTTTGTGTGAAGGATACTAACACAGCGCAGGATGGATCGATTGTTTTGTACAAACTTACGTATTTATATTCTCAGGAAGGACAGCCGAAAACCTTGATTCACGCTGTACGAGGCCGGGTAAAATTCCTGGTTTGCACGGATTGTTGTCAGCAGCATGGCTATCTCTTCCTCGAGGAGAAAGATGTCGTCCACGTTATGGCGTGTACACCACTCCTCTACAATACTGGAGAACGAAATTTTGAATGTTAGTGATACCGCATCACTGGATCAAATAAGATACTTACGTTAGTTCGTGTTCTTCAAACTCGCTACAATCTTGAAGCATCGCACTCGCCGCTGGAGTGAAAGAGACAAGGGAAACTTGTCTCTTGGAATCCACCACTGCTCCAGAGAAAACGAGAGAGTTCTCATTTACAAGCACCACCTGGAGCATTGGTCTTTTAAGCCTCAAGCCTCGAACGACGTATCTATAGGAAGAGTCTTGCTCGGCCCTAGATACGAGCTCCTTGGTAAAGTCCTTCTCAAGAGTGTGGTGCCTTAAAGAAAAGAAAGCCAACACTCCACTTTAGAATGGAGCAAGAAGAAAAATAAAGCGACAGAGAACGAGTACCTGAATGACTCCTTGGTCAGTGTGTTTTCAGCCGCTAGTATGTGTCGCTTGAACAGATGGACGGCTGGTTTCGGTGTTTGGCCTTCGTTTGGTTCTAAGAAAACTCCAATCAGCGACGAGCACTCGAGGCAATTGAATGGCTGCCATGTACCGCTGCTCATTGGCTCCACTGGACCTTTGAGAAAGTCGTAGAAACCTGGACCTGACGTATGTTCTTCACGAGTAGTAACGCAGTCATTTTTCTCGCAGCAGACATCGTGCTGGTGCCCCGGGAAAACCGAAGTGTGTTGCCTGTGATTACCATGATTTGTATCCCCGTTTACTTCCACCTGGAGAGCGTCAGCCTCGCTCTTCTCCTTTTCTTGCGCTCTATCGCAGGCGCTGTCAACTGGTGGCGATGCCTGGCAAAGATCCGAGGCGTGAACGATGCATGTCGAGTTTCCAACCAGGAGTTTCCCGTGCGAGGTGGTGACGTTTTTCTCAAAGCCTGCAACGATTGACTCGGTTCTTATACTGGAGCCACAGCAACATACTCCAAACCAGTCGTCCGTGGCCTCTCTCCAATCAACGGAGGGAAGTTCTAGCACTGACCTGCATAAAAGAACAAAAGAGTTTACTTCCTCCTATAAAAACTCGATTTTCTTACTCGAATCCTCCTCGTGTGATCGCCGCCTTGCAAGCCCTGCAGCGAAGAATAATTTCCGGTGCGCGTGATGCAAGCTCGAATGATTCATCTATGGAAAACAATACAGATCTTCCGCTAGAGTCTAGGAAAATCAAAGAGACTTACTTGTGCTCGGAAGCATTCCCATTTCGCTGCTCAGCAAAAAACTCGCTCCACCACTCACCATTCTGAGCTTCACCTCGATGTGATCCTCCCGCGCCACCGCTTCCACCGGCGCCCCGTGATCGACAGGACACAATGGGAGAGGAACGCGCAACACCACGCGCTTCCCGCATTCTCGCTCCGATTGCCACTCGCAAACCAGCTCCAAACAGGACGAGAATCGTCCAAGGGACGCCTTGAGCCCGCGATTGCACGATACCGACGGCGCCACCAAATCCTTGGTGAGCAGCAGCCGCAGCGATGAGATTCGCAGCAGCGCCTCGTAGAGAAATCTCCAGCCCTCCTCTTCTCCCACCTCGGCCATAAGCCCTAAATTTCAAATTCCAATAAGCCCTAAACTTCACATTATTATCATTACAATTTCCACTAATCACGATTTTTGGGCTAAGCTAAGTACCGTACCCTGGACGTACGAGAACGCGTCCACGGCCGATTTCGCTAGCCAGCTTACTCCAACCTTGACACGGTGCTCGTTTGTGGGAAGGCGATAGAGATACGCGAGCTTTCTAGCTGCAAGAAATTCAAAGAAAACGATGGTAAACAGGAAGAAAAAAAATGATGTTCTACCTGTATGACCAAGTACACCGTCCAGCGTGATATCTTCGAAGAAACTGGGCGTAACAGCACCATTATACCTTCCAAGCGTCATCATCTCGCCCAAGTGCTGGTACCTGGAGAAAACGATCAGAACAAAAGAGTAGGACAATAACTTTCTAGCCTGAAAGGTAGAAGTGGCCTGTTGTTGATTGCGGCCCACAAGTTCCATCCGGCATAGTCAGCTTGCTGAAGCGCGACCTACATAGAAAAAACGTTATTTGAGCGCGAAAAAAAGAGTCAGGACCTGTGCTGTTGTTTGCAGCAGCCTTCCAGAGCTGTCTTTGTTACCAGCGGAGTCTCCAATCGCGAAGATGCGAGGGTGTCCTTTTACTCGTAGAGTCTCGTCAGTGTCCGTCTGTCCACGCCCGTTTGTAGGAAAGGCCTTCGGAACCAACGCTCTGCCTCCGACCGTCCATAGTACCAAGTCGGCTTCCAGAAATGTGCTGGGAGGGGCTTTACGAGTGTTCCTTGAGTTCGCTGGCTTTAACTCGAGAACCACCCGCTTGTTCTTTTTCTCTGGCTCGTTGGAATCCTTGAGAGCAATATTAGTTACAAAATATCCCAGCTCCAGCTTGACGTTGCGAGATGACAATACCTGCAAAATAATTGATGAGTAAGACTGAACACTTGCGTCCTCTCCTTTTCTTTTTTTTTTTTTACCTTCGAAGCTTTTTCTCTGTTTCCGGTAGGTGCTGAAGGGCAGATCTCTGAATTGACATCAATCACTTGCACTCGACCACGCTCACCAAGCCTCTCCGCAACCGTAGCTGACAACTCAATGCCGCAATAGCCGGACCCGACAACAGCAACATCTATGGGCAATTGCTTCGGACCAAACCGCTCCCTTTCCAGCTCTTCCAATCTCTTCTCCAGCCTCTAAAGACGTGAGAAGCATGAGTGGCTCTAAAAACGCAATCTAAATGGAAAAGGCGAAAGAAAAAGCAAAAAGAAAACCGAAGCTTACGAGAGCATCTTCCAGAGTCGAGAAAGGAAGGGCGTGTTCCAGTGCTCCAGGAACCATATCCATCTTAGTTTCAGCACCCAACGCCAATACTAGCCTGATATCTGTGAGTCAGATGTTTAAATGTTTGAAAAAAAAAAAGTAAAAAGGATGAGAACACTGGAAGCTTACCAGTCATATTCGACTTGAATTCCGCTCTCAAGGTACACCTTACCACCGATGCTAGATGGTGACGACTTGTTATCGTCAGCAACTGCATCAAAAGGTGACACTGATTTGACATTGTCTTTTAGAAAGCGTATGGTTGTGCTCGCCAAGAGGTCTGCAAATAGTGGGGCTACCTCCCAGACATCAACTTCTGCACATCGTGAGTCAGGAGAAAAAATGTGGGGCATTTTTAATTTTTTTTTCTGAGAAGTCGTAACCTTTTGACAATAGCTCGTAAAGCATCGGCTTGAAAACGAAACGCTCGGATTGATCCACAAGTAAAATCTGGAAAAGGAAACGTCCTTGAGGAAGCAAGCCATAAAACTGGTCAGAAAATAAAGGCTGAGAACCTGCGGACGCTTTTCTGGTGTCCACACAAGAGAATCCAGCCGCAAGGCAGTGTATAAACCACCAAAGCCACCACCCAGTATACATATTCTGGGGCTCTACACATCAGCAAGAAAAGACTTTGTCAACGTGGAAAGAAATGGAACACATACCTTTCTGTCGGACCAGACGTAAGGATTGAGAGATTTCTCAGAAGTCGTGCTACGATCGTCGCTACCCCCCGCAGATTTCGAACTTAATGCCCTGATCCTCGCGAATAAAAGACTTCTAGAAGAATTCTCCCACCTCTGCAGTCGGCGGAAGCGTCCTCCTCTAGGACGAGCTGGATTGACAGCTTCGTCACTGTTCTACCCGATCAAGAAAAAAGAACAGCGACTCTTACCGGAGAACCAGAGCCTCGAGCAAAATTTCGACCCCACGGCGAAGGAATGCGATGCTCCTGCAGCCAGCATTTGGCGCTAGAGCGCAGCGAATCGATCAAGATTACCTGGAAGAGAGGCGCACGGGGACGATCCAAGAGCGGCACACCCCAGCGCCATCGCCCCGCCCTAGCGCTAGAAAAAACCTAAACCCCCCCGCCAAGAAATTTCTAGGGCTGCCACGATCTTACAATCTAATAGATTTAAGGTAAGTGAGTGGAGGGGCCGTTTACGAATGATTGTCTTCGACAAAAGCTCTTACATTCACTCAGAGCCACACACACATTTTCTACGTTCTTTGGAAGATCATGAATTAAAACCAATGTGGTGCTTGTGGATCACATGGCAAGCATTAGATGCTCTCTGGGTGGACTGTCGGACCGAGAATATGGCATGCCTGTCATCATACTTAGATATAGGGAGTCAATCACGGCTATGGAGAGGCCAAAGTTGACCAAAAAATCACACAAAAATTACCCCTTTTTCTGGTATTCTAGAACCGAAGAACAGGAAAACAAGCAAAAAAGAGAGAAAAAGAGAGAGAAAAAGAAATGCAAAAGCGGAGAAAGAGGAAAATTAAGAAAGCGGTGTGCGTGTGTCGGAGTGGGAGAGCATGTTTTCTCAATTGCAGCCGCAAAAAAAATGTCTCAGGTACTTTATACAACTTCTGGGTTCAAGCAGCAGCCGGCCATGTGCACAATGAATGGGGGTTTTGACGGCAAAACTCCAGCTCCCACTCGAGCAGGAAACAAAAAAAAAAGAGTTTTTGGTCGCTTGGGTGATCTCAGCGAAGGCAGTTATAAGGGGCATCTTCCAGTGTTGACTCAACAGCAGCAAAAAAAAAAAAAAAGGCGACGAAAGAGTGAGCAAATCCAGAGAACTGGGGGACAGGAAGAGGAAAGTTGGCGCAGGCGGCCGATTGATTATTCGTGCTTCTTGCGGTTGATGGGAGAATCTAGAGTCTATAGACTGGTAGAGTGGCGCACAGGTTTTTTAGTTTGGATTATTACAAACGGTCCCTGCAAGCTCCCACACACACCAACGAGTTTACAAGTCTTTTCCTGCTCGTCTTATGTTTCTTTTCTCCTTGCTTTGGATGGAGAGTCGTCGTCAAGGACCGGCACGAATGCAGTAGCAGCAGCAGCAGCAGCAAACAAACAGGGTCGACGGAATAGAAATCCAAAAGGCCAAGAAAAGAGTGATTTTTCCATCGTTTTCCTTGGTTTTTTTGCAGTGGTTCTTGGGAGTACACTGCACTGCGAACAGAGATCCGGCACTTGGCACATGCAGGTCATCGGGACTGTATAAAGTCCGCACATTTTTCTTTCAATTCTTTTCTGGTCAGCGAGGAACAAGGTGAACAAGAAACAGAGGGGAACTTGAACAGAAATTTGACCCCACTCACATGATCCTGATGCTACACTTGACACTGCAACACCTCACTTGTGACAACAAGAGGTATCAAATCCCTGGGAGTATCACAAACAGAGGCGAATTGTTTTTCTTATTGCCAGGAGGGATCGGTTTCTAAATCATGGGCTTAGTGTGGAGCCGGGCATGTCTTGGGTGCCGTAAGAACTTCTCCAATTTCTCGGTCCTCTCTCCGTGTCAACCCCATGATCGTAGACAAGGATCTACACGCAGGGAGAGTGTAAAGATTTTCGGGAAGTTTTATAAAGCAAAAGGTGGCATGAAACATTAGAAACCACGACACAGGGACAGTGTCACTCTCGCAACCTAAAAAAGTTTGAGAACTCTACTCCGTGTGGGTAACTCCTTGTCCAAAGAAGTAGAAGAGGAAGAGGATTCTGACCAAGAGTTGAAATTGATGATCCAAACAAACATCATGAGACAAAGGATAAGCTTTGGTCACTTTGTTCATCACCGCGTAGCGCAACTCTTGCAACACTCAACTTCCTTCTTCTAGATCCAGAAGAAGGAACTTGAGTGTTGCAAGAGTTGCGTCTTGCAGTTCACTATACACACTATACACGACTATTTCTTCCAAGACGCTGCAAAAGGACTTACGTGTTTTATTTCCACAGGCTACAAAAAATGGCTTTCCGCGTTTCTCACCCCTCTTTCTCTCTTCTCTCTGTGAAACGATGATCGATAATCATAAAACCAGCTCCTCTTCCAACAATCTCGGAAGTCGCAACCCAGAAGAGGAGGAATGGAGAAAAGGAAGAAGAAGAAATCCTTCCTTGTCATTACAGGGCTCCTGCGAAGACGTCCAAGTGTCTCTTGCCGTGCGCCGGGATGCTGAGCCTGGCGGCGCTGTAGTCCCCCCAAGTGAAGGGCCTGTACCGCAGAGGATGATCTTCATCGATGAGCTCATCCGGGGGGGTGATCACGTAATCCTCTTGTGGGCCGTAGAAGAAAACCATGGAGAGCCTCCCTTGCTTCTGGTTCACCACCGCTCGGTGCTCCACGCTCTTGTATCTTCCATTGGTCCAGGCCTGGAAGAACAATTGGGACATTATAAGTTTCGAAAACTATAGCACAGATCATTCTATCGATCGATCATACCTGAAAGACATCGCCCAAGTTGATCACGAATGTGTCTGGCCGTGGCTTCACAGCGATCCATCGGCCATCTTTTCGTATCTGGAGACCACCGACACTATCCTGGTGGAGTATAGTGATCGCGGAGGGGTCGGAGTGAGCGAGGAGGCCCAGAGCTTTGGAGGGCAAGGGGCATGGAGGGTAGTGATTCCACCGGAACGTGGAGGAGCTCTCCTCGAAGTGGCGGCTAAAGGTTCTCCTCTCCAGGCCCAAGCTCAGGGCAATCAGTTGGACAACACTCTGCCCGAGCTTCTCCATCTCGGCGTGGTACCTCCGCAGCGCTCTCCTGGATCATGGGCGAAAGGAATCAAGTTAGAATTGGATGATCGAGCGAGAGTTTCGATCATCTCGCGGCTCTCACCTTAGCCTTGGATTGCCTTCTCCCGGCCAGACTCTGTCCACCGTCTCATCCACGGTGGAGTATGGAGTTTGCTGCATTGCCATGGCTTCCACCCACGGCGCGCTCGAGGACAGGTCCTTGTAGCGGCCATTGTAGCCCAGAGGCCTTGGGAAGATCGCGGCCTTCTCCTTTTGCTCGTAGGGGAGGTGGAAGAATTGGTCGGCATGGAGCAGCATCTCTTGGATCAGGTCGTCCGGGACGCCGTGATTGACGATCTGGAAGAACCCCCAATCGCGGCAGGCATTGCCAACCTCGCGAGCGAGGCTCTCGGTGCCAGCCCCGGACTTTAACGTCTCAAAGTCGATCATTGGGAGTTCCACCTCGGGGAGGAAGGCGTCGTGGGACAATCGCGCGCGGTGGCTCTCGGGTATCACGTATCTCTCGGGCAGGAGATTGGTGTCCTTGAGCAGCGCCGAGAGCTTGCAAATGTTTTGTCTCTCCAGCGCTGCCGCTGATTCGCTCGTCGTGGCGGTGGAGCTTTGGAGCTGGAGCAAACTCCGCGGAATTCTCTCCTTGGTGTGACGATCGCGCCTGGGCGATGAAGCGAATGAGGGGAAGCCCGCTGGCCGCGACTGGACCGCCATCCGGAAGAGGAAAAAGAAGGCCGCCAAGGAAGAAAAACTTTGAGATTCCGCTACAAAAACAAAAAGGAGAAGATCTTCCCAGGAATTCGATCGCGGGGGGGGGGCAGATCTTCCTCCAGGAATTCAAGGAAGACGCGAGGATAGCGCAGCGAGGGCGACGTGCATGAGAGAAAACCGTGAGCGTGTGACTAAATGACCTGAGTAAGGGAAGTGGAATGGCGCTGGCTTTTAAAAGTCGCGAGAAATTCTATTCTTTCTCCCCAGGAACAGTGGTCTAACTAAGACGACTTCGTAAACTATAGCAGTCGCATTGTCAATCTTTCTCTCTGAGCTAGCTCTCTCTCTCTCTCTCTCTCTATCCCAACGCTTTTGCTACTATGCTACACACCAACTTCTTGCTTTTCAGGGCTCCTGGATGATCTTCTATAGCCAACAACAGTCCAGATGCGGCAAATCACTTTGCCCGCGCGCTAAACATGTTTCCTTTTCTCCCTCTGTGATCTTCGAGATCTTTTGGCTCTTGGAAAGGTGAAAGGAAAGGAGAGCTACGTGGAAAGCCACATTGGTGTCGTGAATTGAGGCCGACATAGAGGCTGCTCGGCCGGCTGAGGAGAGTTCTTGTATGAGTTTTGGGCATTATTTTAAGTGCCGGCTTTGCAACAGTGGGCTGCGCTGATGTTTAAATCTTTCTATGCTCAACTAAAGAGTATGTGGTTGAAGCTATGAAGTTTAGATGGTGATTATTGTTTGTGATGGTAATGAGATCCTTATTGACTTGGATGTCTCAACACCTGAAAAGGAAAAGTTCCACCGCCACCTTTCTGACTGACTGACGCGTTTAATTTGTGTGCGTGTTCTTGTTCAATGGCAAGTTCTTCACGGCATTTTCGAAGCAGAAGGAATTGTGTGTAGGGATCGAAGGATCTGTTGCGACTGACTTGACTGTTGAATTGAAGCTTCTCTTTTGGGAGTTTCTCTTTAATTCTCTTTTATATATTTTTACATACTTCTTCTTTTTTTTAACTTGTTTTTATTTGTGGATTAATACATATGATGCAAGGCACAAAAATATTTAAATAATAGTTCTTTGTCAGGAAAATTCCTTGAATCACACTTACAATGCTCTCAATGGATGTCTGCCAAGTGGCGCGCATCCCAGCCGCCCACGTGGACAAAGCTTGAAACGCATATCCTGGGAATTACTTATTACGAAGTGGGATTCTAGGGCAGTCCAGCGCGGCGATGGCGTCGTCACTCGAGGCGCTGCAGCCGGCGATCGAGAGCCTCTACAAAGTGCGGGACACATTCTTTCCTCTCGACGCCGCCGAGAAGAGGGATCGCCTGGAGCGATCCGCAAAGGAGCTGATCGCGGCCCTCGATGACATCTCTCTAGGTGAGAATCTCGAAAATGTGGCTTTCTCTCACGTTTTTCGCTTAGAATGCAAGAAGCTGCCCCCTCGCCGCGCGCTCTGGGAGTATTTCAAGGGGAAAGTTTTGGATGTTATGCCGGAGTATTGCAAAGAGGCCGAAGATCACCTCTCCAAAGCGGTATGCTCGCCTAGACCCTCGCATTTTTCATGGCTGGATTGACGAGAGAGCACGTAAAAGACCGCGATATAATGCTGCATTCCCTGATCTTACCTTATTCCTTTGCAGCAAAGGATGTTCTTAAGTACCACTCTTGTTGAACCTGAGGCAGGTGAAGCTGGATCCTTCTATTGTGGATGCTTGGTCCTGCCTGGGGAATTGCTTCTGGAAGAAGGGAGACTTTTCTTCAGCAAAAAACTGTTTCAGCCTGGGACTTCAAAAGGTTTCTTCTTTTTCTTCTTCTTTGGTTTTTTGTCTTCGTTTTCTCTGACATAAGTTTGCAGGGACCAAATAAGAAGATCTTACAGCAACTGTCTATGCTGGAGCGGCGACTTGGAAAAGGTTAAGCCCGTTTTGTTTTGCTTACCGGCTTGTGACTTTCTTGCTTAATAGGAACCGCAAACGAATCCGAGATGGTTGAAGAAAGCATCAAGCACGCCAAGGAAGCAGTGTGTTTGGATGTCAAAGATGGACACTCCTGGTGTAAGAAGGTTTCTTTATCGTTCTTTTTATGTGGAAGTGTTTTGAAGCATGTTTGCGACAGACACGCTAGGGAACGCCTTTTTGACGAGCTTTTTTGTGACCGGAGCATGGGACCGACAAAAGCTCCACCAATCTCTCAAGGCCTATCAAAATGCGGTTGCGTTTACTCGCTTTTGTGTGGTGCCAGTTTTCTTCTGATGGTTTCCATTATCTACAGGAGAAAGACGTGCTGGCTAATGGTAATCCTGATCTGTATTTCAACAGCGCAATAGTAAGTTGCAATGATTTTTTGCAAAGTCTTATTTTGTTCGTTTTGGTTTACAGGTGCATCAGTACCTAGAAGATTATGAGAGAGCGCTGAGAGCATACGACGCAGCTAGTACTCGGGACCCTGGGCTCCCTGCGAAGGACGAAATTGATAAAATTGTCAAGCTTTTGTCTAAGCTGGAAGATGCTGTTGCAAATAAGGTATTCCCTTGCTGAGTTATCAGCTGTGGTTTCCTGAAGTTGTGGAGATGTTTTTCAGGGTTGGATCAAACCGAAGAAGCTTTCATCACTGATTTCTTCCTTGGCCACTGAAAGTGGTTCGTATGCAAGAAACAATTTGTTTTACTGATGTGGACTCTGTTTTTACACAGGGCAGTTCTCGTTCAAACGAGTGCCTATAACGTTACTGCAAGAAGGATTTAACAAAGGGAGCGTCGTCTACTGCAAAGTTTTGTCAGTCATCTCGCACGATAAGTCTGTGCCTCTGTAAGTTACCGGCGTCGTAGTTTCAGCGCTGCTGATCTCTCTTTCTCTGCTGCAGCTTTTACCTGGCTGCCGATTCAGAGGGAACGTGTTTCGTGGTTTCGGTGTACGCGATTCGGGAGGGCATGGTACGCAAAGCTATTCAATCCTCAGTTACACTCATGCTCAGGTGCACAGATGAAAGAGGGCAACTCTTTGAGTTTGCTGGAACCATTGCTTCACAGCGTACGTGCTCAACGGGGGAACAAGGTGATACTTTTTCCTTTCTTCTTTTCAAGATTATAACTCTTGTTCCTGCAAAGGTTTACTCGTTTAAAACCGTGAGGATCGATCACTCTCAGCAGCTGCGCGTAAACGGTCGCACGATAGCACCCCAAGATGCGGCATGCTCGATTATCCACGCAGAGCACGTCCCGCCCTAGCGAGCACTGTGTGGCTCTTACGGAGTTTTAATATACACAGCCATGGACTAAACTTTTAGTCAGCGGTCAAATGTTAGTCAACTTTTGGAACGCTAATTCAGTAAGAATGGCTGCCGAGTCATGTTATCCCTCCGTAATCTCCTCGAGCTGCTCCTTGATCCACATGTGCAGCCCATCTCTTAATCGCGACGGAGCCCAGCCGAGCTTCTCCATGATCAAAGCGTTGTCTGTGTTTCTTCCGTGAACCCCTCCGGCCCCGGGGATGTAGTGGATTGGAAGTTTCTTCGTCTCAAAGCCCAGGATCTTCTCCGCCATCTCTCACCATCTCATGTTGAGCGGCTTCCGGAAGTTAGATTTCGTGAGTCGCAACACGCCTTCCATGCACTCGTCAAGCATTTGCACCCCACATCTCAAAGTTGTCACTAGATGTTACTGCAAAATGTGAGCCTTCTCCCATCCACTTGTTTTAAGCGTCAATGGCTTGTGAACACCCAAAGAAAAAGGGATCTAAGAACAAAGCTCGATAGATGTTGTGGAAACGTCTAGTGCAGCACTGGATTCCCTTGGTTTAGCTCACCCATAGGCATCTTGGGGCTGCAAAACCAGAGTTTTAGAACTTCCAAAGAAAAGAAGGTTTTCTTCTACATAACCATGCATCGTTTCTACTTGACTTGTAGAAAAATCTATAAGCTAACAAGAATGTTTGGAAAAAAGAAGAACAGAGAAAAAGAAGGAAAAAAAAGGTTTTGTAATGGTGAAAAAGACACAGGACCTTGCCTTGACAGAGGAAAGAAAAGCAATGGATGGAGCTTGGCTAACACCTGACGCTCTAGCCACAAGTTCCATCTGGTGGATCTGCGACAATTGCTTGGCAGTGAAAGGGGAGGGGATCACATCTTCAATCATGGGCCTAGCTTCAACAGGGTCAATGGAGTCAAGGGTCCACAAGGGCATGGGTTCGAATCCCACTAGATATTTTGTCTCGGGGGAATGTTTTGGATGTTATAAAGCATTTTTCATAGCTGGATAATAGACATTATAGGACACTTATAACCTATTCTATTTAACAGTACAAAGTCAATGTATAGGGCATTGCCTAAACAGCTCAGTATTTGAAGTTCTAGGATCCCTGTCCCTGCTCCTGTCCCTTTCGATGCGATATACTATCCCGAACGCCTGGAACACAACTTCCACATAGCCGTACCAGAACTCCCGATCAATGAGCTGCTCCCTGACTGACTCAGTCATTTCTAAAACACTGTTCAGTAAGTCTCTAAACGGGTACGCGAGCCGGTTTGATGGGGTGGAGCATATTCCATCCCGATCTTCATGCCAAAATTCGTCCATCACTCGGACTTGCACCCACACCCGCACGTCTTCCGCAAGCGTAGCAACCCACGTGATTGGCTCGCCCACTATCGCCAGGTTGTTGCGGTGGTTCCGGACACGATTGAGCACTTCGACCATGAGTTCTCTCACCTGCGCTACACTGAGCAAGTTGTAGTCGAGCAAAAACCTAAACAAACCCCGCTGAGCTGGTGGAGGTGCACTACAAGTGAGAGCCATTGCCAAGAGAAAGATCGCGAAACTAAAGAGCTTTGTCATTGACAATCCAAGAAAATTGAAACCATAGAATTTATCAATAGTATTTTATATATATATACACACACATTTGGTATTGATTTCTCTTTTATTTTTGTTGAAACAGACTTTTGATTTCTCTTTTGGTTTGCTACATCAACTTTTTATAGTAACAAGAAAAATATGAAATGTTTGCATGTGCTTGCTACAGCCGCGATCTAGCCGCGTTTTGACAGCCTGGACATACCTAATATATTCCTAATATTCATGCATTCTGTTTCGCGGGAATCTTTTCAGATACCTTTCAAACAATAAATTTCATGAGTTTAGCAAAGCCACTAAACATCCATTCTTGCACACATATATATATTGCCCTTCCTTAATCTCTTTTTTGCAAATGATGCTGTGCAATTTGTAAAAACATAACTTTGCATGCATAAATTTTCAGGTCCACGTGGCAAAAGTTTATTGGATAAATTTCTGATGCCTATCAATGACTAATCCATGACACAACTTGGAATTGGTGTGCTCGCTGTGGGCAAGCTCAGAGCATTATACACTAGTGATCAGAGCAGCCTAAGGCTGGGAGGAGAGTCTAAGAACCATGCAATAAGTGTGGATTGTGACAAGTTAAGCCCAACAGTGCACGATCAAGTGCTTAACAATCATCCTTCCTGTGCCAGCTCTATATCCTGAAGAAGGTCCTAAGGATCCACAACATGATGGTGATTGCCAAGACCTCAAAAGTGTCATTTAGAAAGATTCCAGTATTGTATAGAAGATAACTTCCACCATGGTGTTTCTGGTGCCTGCAGGCTCAAAGTTGTTGGTTAGATATATTAGTGAACTTATCACAATTAAATTGGATTCAAGCAATCATTTTATTTATACTTGTCCAAGTTTTTATATGTTATACATGGTGTGTTACTTTCTTGTTGGACTAATATATAACTCAATGATATGAGTTTTGTATATGGGTCTTATAAAGGTGAGTTAAATAGTGATTGTTAGTTGCTTTGCAATTAATGATTACTTATATACTTTGTTGAGGACTACTAACATTTGTTTAACTTGATAATGATTTAGCAGTGATGGGTTTGATTACCGGATGGTATTATAGAGGATTGTATCATTAGCTTTACATGGTTTTTCCATGTTAGCATTTTGATTTTATCTTCATTGATATTTTTTTATTATATTTAATTCGTAGTATTGGATTTCATTGAGTCTTAGATGTAGTAATTCACTCCTTGATAAAGTGTTATTTATAGTTGAGTATTATTGAAGGTTTGGTCTTGGATATTGAATAAAGTATGTTTGGCCTTGGCTAGTTTGGTTGCTAAAAAGTTTTAAGTGGTGATTGACTTTTATTTTCTTTTAGTTTTATTCTAGTGTTGATGACATTGAAGTAATGCACTGCTATTAACATTATTAAAGTTGAGATTGGAGTGAGATGAGATGTTTTTTCATAAGTTTAATATTCAATTTCATTAGTCATGATATAAATAGTTGTAAGTAACCAAAGAGAATGACATGAAAGACAATCCATAATTGATTAAGGGTCTTGAGATAGTTGGGGTTAAGTGTCCCTAGGTTTGAATAATACTAGGTTAGGTGACCTTTTGGAAAGTCTAAATTCAAAAGCTTACAATAGTGTTGATGATTTTGGCTCTAGATTTGTATCATTGGCATTAGTGTTGATGATTTTAGTTCTAGGTTTATGCCATTGGCATTTGTGCATTTGTTAATTAGCAACTATATTAACATTCAAATGAGTTGAGTGGCAACTTAAATTAGTTATGTTTTAGACGAAATTGTTTTGTAGGGTTGAGTTTTGGCTTTTCCTTAAAACATAATATAATTATGGACTATGCTAGTTTTAAAAGAAGAGTTAGTGATTGATATTGAAACTATTAAATTTTTGTTTGATTGAGTTGAGGATATATTGATAATTAATGATTCTTCTTGTGCTTGTTATGAAGTTAGTTATATTTTGCTATAAAAGATGAATTCTTAAAAGATCATTTGGTGATCATTTGTTGAGTATAGTTATGTTATGTTTAGCTTTTGAATTGATACAAACATGTTTTTCATTAACTTTAGCATTATGAAGTTTGGCTTTTAAATATGTTTAAAAGGATATTGTGGGTTATACCTTGAATTAGTTCATATGAAACTCATGATCATTATTAGGCAAGACTTGGCTATATATCTCTTCAAGCTTTTAGTTCTTTAAGTTTTATGCTTATTGTTCCATTTGTTAGGAGTTACTTATTAACTTTGATGTTGAAATTAGTATTTGCATCTAGCAATAATTGGTGGTGATTAACTATTCTTTAGAATAATTGATTATCTTTGTTAAAGGTTTTACTAAATTATTGTTGGTGTTAAATGATTTACTATTCTTCAGAATAGTAAATTATTTCTTCGATAATGATTATGCATTTCTCTATTGATGGGATGATTGATGAATTTTCATGATGGTTAGTTATTATTTTGATGAATTTTATCTTTCTGTATTACCACATATTTTTTATAGTTTGCTTTGGATTGATTTCTTGGGTTTGAGATGTTGCTTACCCTTGTTTGAACAACTTATTAACTGGAATCTATTCACATTCATTAATGTGATAATTAAAGTGAACTAGTGTTTGTTAGCTCTTGCAGCATTCATTCTATTATGTTAATTGTTGTTACAGTTGATTTTGATAGATTGGATGTTATTTCCTTTAAGTGATATATATGTAAGCATTTTGCTTGCTAGTCGATAGTACTTTGTGTTTTTGAGTTGTCTTTTATAAATTGTTTAGCATACTATTTACAATCTTTGATAATTAAGTTTTATTATTGAGTTTTCTTAATGATTTACTTGCTAAAAAAAGTTTTTTTGTTGGTCACCATTTAATGATATTGATGGTTCCTATAATACTAGTTTATTGGATGATAACTGCATTAGAATATCTTAATATTCTAATATATGATTTATTCATTGATAATTTAATCTCTAAGATATCATTTTTTTTACTTTAATATTCTCCAATATTTTATCTTTGGGTTTAGGCCATTATAAACTAACTGACTTTGGCATTTCGTATGCATAATGAAATATTTAGTTATGGATAACTATTGTCAATTAGTCATATCACCCACCCTTTTTTTGATGTTCCTTATTCCGTCAAAAGGGTGTGATCATGTAAACAACTCTCACTATTTGTTTATAATAATCTATCTAAACCTTACTGATGAATTTAGTTTGTTTACTCAAGAGGGTTAGGACCTTTAATTTCTCTCTCTATATCACTTGTAAACAAGGGTATATCATCTTTTGCAGGCTAGGTGATACCTAGAGTAGCAAGGGTGATTGACTCCATTAGTCATTTCCTTGTCAGTGACGGCCAAAAGATGTATGAATTGTAGCACATTTACATTAAATAGAGAGGTTTCCTCCTAACTCATTTAAGTCGGTGCAGTTTTCACAAAGTACAGACATTGTGAACTTTTTCTAGAGTTATTTCCTTGGCAATAGTCTAGACTAAAGTATGCATTGACAT